AGCCCTTTGATGGATTCATATCGTAATTAATTTTAATTTTTAATCAATATCCTTGATGTTTATTTTGTAATGTTATTATTGTACTTTTTATTAGCCCTTTGATGGTTTCATATGAGTTATTGTTTTTGTTACCTTGTTGTATATAATTTGAATTCTTGCTATTATACTGTCATTACTTACTTGAGAACGACAAGAGGAACTTGTTGAAACGTAGTGTGAAATAAACCCAGTGATTGTTTTCCATATAAATTTGTGTTTTATATTAAATCTCTAATATGTGAGAAGGATGGCATACATTTGAATACTTCTGGTATGTCCAAATATGCTAAAAGTGTACATTCAGCTATTGCTATAACACATAAGAGAGGTTTTTATTAGCATTTTTATCTAAATTGGGGAAGCACTGGCCTAGTTCAGTTGGAATTATTACACTGATATATTTCATGTCTATACCGATATAGTTTTATTTTTCTGCTTTGTGCAGTATATGAATGTTCCTTGATTTTTCGTCACCGTCTATATGGTGCTTTATTTTTATTTTCTGCTTTTAGTGCAGTGTATGGATGTCTTTGTCACCATTTTATATGGTGATTTATTTTTATCTTTTGCTTTTAAGTGCAGTGTATGGATGTTTTTTAATTTTTCATCAAATTTTCCAAGATCTAATAATGTTGCCTAGGCCGGTGCTTCAATCCCATTTCTCTAATGACATTAGATTATATTTTGTAATAATTGTGTGTCCAATACTGTCTTGATGCTGGGCGTTAGCATTGCCTGCTCTGGTACATGTCAATTGCTGAGTAACTTATCAGTTACTGTTTGTTTATACAGGTCACCGATCACTATGCCAAAAACGGGCTCCAGACATCGTAGTTCACGCTCCACCACAGCCCCTTCTCATTTGTCCAATGACTATATCATACCTGTCCGAGCTTCACGATCCAACACAACAATCAGGCTCGTGCAGTATCATCAACAGACGAGGGACAGTCGTACTCACCTGGGACAATCCCATCAACACAAATTCGGTCTAGTAACCCAATTTTACCATCTGCTGACCAGATAGCTTCGGCTCTTTTTTCTCAAATGCGGTCAGAAGGCCTATTATTGTCAGGCCACCAGTTGGTCCCCCTGGCCATGGAATCCAGAACAACCACTTCAACATCAGTGCCACAGATCATTGCAGAAGACAATTCACATGTCATTCACGATCAAGGTACTGGCATTGATCTTAATTCTTTACCTACAACAATCAAGCATTCGTTACCACTGGATTTCGATATTCCAGACCGTGTGAAGGGACAAATTTGGTCAGACCAGTTTGTTGATTTTAGCTCTCTAATATATTTATTTAATTCTCAAAAAGATAATGATTCGGTGGTCCTGCATACAATAGGATCCAATGTTCGAATTAGCTCAGGTACAAAACGCAAGGAGATTTGGACCTTACCACAATGGTGTATTGCATTCAACATTTTCATTACAATTTATTACCAAAAATTTCCTCAACACATCATGTCTTAATTAAATATGGCAATAATATAAGGAACATGGCGTCAGAGTTCGGATTCCAATCTGCAAAATCTTATGATGAAGCTTTCCGTAAAGTAAGATTTATTTAATTCTCAAAAAGATAATGATTCGGTGGTCCTGCATACAATAGGATCCAATGTTCGAATTAGCTCAGGTACAAAACGCAAGGAGATTTGGACCTTACCACAATGGTGTATTGCATTCAACATTTTCATTACAATTTATTACCAAAAATTTCCTCAACACATCATGTCTTAATTAAATATGGCAATAATATAAGGAACATGGCGTCAGAGTTCGGATTCCAATCTGCAAAATCTTATGATGAAGCTTTCCGTAAAGTAAGATCTCTTATAAAGTCTGACTGGGCAACTATCCATGATGAATTGTGGCAGAAGGCTGTTTTCTCTACATTTAAACTCAATGTCACTGAAGGGGGCTCCATACAAAAATCTTCCTTTCGTCCCCAAAACAGTGAAGTCTCCAACACAGGGTTCTCCAAATCCCACATTCAAACCGAATCATTCCCGGAAGGGTATTGCTGGTCCCTTTATTACAAGGGAACATGTTTGCAAACAATCTGCAAATATAACCATGAATGCCCCATCGGTGGTCAGCAACCCACCGCAATGTCCTGCAAATGCAGAAGCATCAAACCTACCAACAACAGTTAAAGTTGGTGTCAGCAACACACCACAACGTCCTGCAAATCCAGAAGCATCAAACCTGCCAACAACAGTTAAAGTTGGAGAATTATTCAAATTACTGTCTGGTTATAATTCCGAAGCCAAGGAGATCTTAGTTAATGGATTTACAGTGGGGTTTAGGCTTGGGGTTCCAAATCACTTACCCTTAACAGGTCATTGTCGACTATAGTCACCACAACGTTATACAGCTAAGTGGTCACGGTTGACTACAGCAAGAACCTTTTTTATAAGCCGCATTTGAGTATTTAGTTTCATATTTAATTGATATGGCCACGTATGCGTGTCAGACAGGAACTTGTCTTGTCAAGGGCATTGAGAAAAACATGTCTTTGTTCAACATTTTTTTACGAAAAACGTCATTTAACAGTGTCGGGAACTTTAAAGACGCTCGAAGTGGTTGAAATACTTATGAATTATTCTGAATTGGATTATATCGATGACACTGATTCTGAAGACGATATTTCTGATGAAAAGGATTTAGAATGATTTGCAAATTATAGATCAACTTATCCCCATCAACTTTTTTATTGGTGTCAAGAGTCTATCACTTATAATTATTCGACAGTAGTCGATTGAAATAGGCATACAAAATATTTCACGTCAGCCTGTATTGCGTCCAGGAAGTTTTCTCCGTGCTTCTAGCTGTCATGTCGCCATTGTTGTCAACAATCTTTTCAGTCCGTCTTTAATTGACTAGCTTTAGTCATTGCAAGGGCGAGATAGATCCACTCTCCAGGTACTATTCTAGATCATTTTTATTGCGTGTTATTCAGTGTTCTTATAATTATTTGTCAGTTTCAACGAGTGACCATACAACGTGTTCGTCCCACATGCTTTCAGTCTGCCAGGACATTATTGGAAATGGTTATTTACATTTCGATGTTATTTCAGACTATTGCAAAATACAGAAATGACTTCTAGGGATTAATATTCAATGCCTCTGAAATAATGACTTTTCTGTGTATTTACCAAAGTTCATTGCCATTGTTTTTTGTTTGGATTTCTCATGAATTATAAGGTCCATGCTTTTGTTAGATGTCATGCAGCCACTTGTCAGTGGATTGGCGTTCTAGTCTAGGCCTTTAAAGGAACATTAATTGTCATATTTTGTCATAGTCTAATTCTTTAAAGAGACATTGCATACAACTGTCATATTTTGTCATAGTCTAATCCTTTAAAGGGACATTGCATGTAACTGTCTTTTCGTCATAGTCTAATCCTTCAAAGGGACATTTATGTCATAACTTGTCACAGTCAGTTCTAGCCCTTATTGTCGTTAACTTTTGTCTTTTCAGAATGAATGACATATATAGATGAATGGCATAATTATGAACGACGAATGATATATGATATATCGTCGCTGCGCTTCCAAAATGCTGTATCTCGATTTTATCAATTTTTCAGGAGATACAAAAAACTAAATAAAATTGTACTAAATGGATGAATCGAGTTGTTGTTTTGATATGTTATATTACATGGGGTGTTGCTGATATCTGTGTATTTTAAAAATATGGGTTTATTCCCATAACGTTGCAATACGACTTATGATATTTTGATGACAATGTCTAACAAAGTTCCTCAAGATATGATGGATCGCACTGAACTAAAAATAAGACACAAAATGAATGTTAACGAAATAAGATTTCCAATCTATTCATAACACCCATGTCTGCGCAACTTTAATCGGATTGATTAATTAATGACATATTAACGAAACTACACTTGCCATATTATTATCAATACACAAAGATAGTTAGATGACCCTTCTCAATCTGTTATTCCATTTAGATGGTTACCAACAAAATTTCCAATCTATTCATAACACCCATGTCTGCACAACTTTAATCGGATTGATTAATTAATGACATATTAACGAAACTACACTTGCCATATTATTATCAATACACAAAGATAGTTAGATGACCCTTCTCAATCTGTTATTCCATTTAGATGGTTTGTACTGTTAATTCTAAAGTATATAGAGATATTTTTTCGTATTTCATTTTCACAGTCTATTTCAGAGTAATTAAGTCAAATCCGCATGCAGAAAGAAAGGCGCCGTACGATGACTACAGGAAAACGAGATACAGTTGGCTACTCTGATAATGGATTGTACTCTTTTACACGGGAAATTACAACCACAGTACTCTTCTGACGAAAATGTATCTCGAATCGTTAGGACTGCACATGATGGTAGAGGGACTCTTATCAAAAAGTCACAGTATTAAAATCGCTGTCGTGAGAAGAAAGGGGGGTCATTATAAAACAATCTAAATTACAAAACAAATTATTCTGTAGTCAATTGTTTTATTTAATTAGGGGATTTAGGAATCAGTCAGGCGTTAATGAATACGCACGCCGGCTGTATATAGGTAAATAATTAATAAACATTCCGAATATGCATTTGGTCACTGTGACGTCACTGGCGTCTGAGGGGATTAAGATTGTTTTCGATAATTGGCAAAATTATTTTTACTGGAGGTCTATTTTTTGCGACTTTGAGTGAAGATAGCTGAATTAATTTCAATCATATTGGTGTGAACTTGCCATAAAGTGGATATAGTAACCATTGGCTACATGTACCCGAAATTTTCTTTGTCCATCTTATGTGCACTTTAACAACTTTCATAAACTTTCACACTAATGCATACGAAGACGATCTAAATAAAAATGTATTAACCATTTTTAAATTTCTTTTCATATATCATGAAGTATTTTAGATTAATGTAATTTCTGTTGTTTTTTTTTTCATTTCAACAGGTTTTAGTTTAGTTCAGTCCTTGTCACATTCTAAATCCAATGTATTACCAAGGGTCCACAGAAACCCTTCATCATGGGTAGAAGAACAGAATCAACATTTGTAAGTACATACCTGTCTGCTCAAGTTTTCCTGTCAACACTCCAACCAATACAGCTTTTGTTGGAATTTTCCTATATTGAAGTGGATATTCATAAGATTTAACGTCTTACTTCCCTGCAGACATGTCAACTAGCGTGTTTTTTCCGTGAGATTCACGGATTCACAACCTTTCTCATGAAAATAAACATATGCCAAATGCTATTTTTACTTACAAAGGGAGGTAACTCCCTTACTTCCGGGGGGTGGGGGAGTGGATGGCCAAATAATTACCACGTGCGTGCTGTCATTGAGTCAACTGGCAGGGTTTCTATTCCCTGGTTGTACGTGACAAAGAGTAGGGTTGCCTGTCCAACCTTGTGGGTTTTCTCCGGGTCCTCCGTAGTTTGTGTCGAGTGGACGTTAAACCCCATTCCTCTCTCTCTCTCTTTTTCTCTTCCCACTGCTAAAGACCCCTACGTGCAAGTGAATTATTGAAATAAAATTGAACCATGTGTTAGTCCCGAAATGACCTAGTTTGTGTCGATTGGACGTTAAACCCCATTTCTCTCTCTCTTTCCCTTACTTCTGTTTCATAAATCAACCTCATGATTGGCTGAAGTTGACCGGAAAGTTCTAATTCCGGTAATACGCTTGACAGCCCAACGTGTGTTTGTGATTAGTATTGTTTGGAGTAAATAAAGTATATTGTAATGGTATCAGAGTACATAAGCGTACCAAATAAAATAGAGACCTATACAAGGTTCTTTTCATAACTATCGTTTTACCCCATGGCTAGTAAAGGTCTATCTATGCGATTTTGACAAATTCTCCGGCGAAAAGTAAACATTTCACACCACACATGACTTTAGTGTCAAATCGTAAGCCATTGACTGAAATTTAGCCGAATTTCAATCTGCGATTTTGGATTACTTTTTCAGTTAAATATATTACTAGCAATTGTATTATAATACTTTGATATCGATCTCAATATATGCAAATAATCTGACTCAAAAATTATCGAAATATAAGTGCAATTACCGTTTATGTACGGGAGACACTTGTGGGAAAATACCGCTTTGACGTCACGTTTCCGGGGATTTCCATTCACACGATTATAGCCATAGAAGACAGGATTTATCGGTTTTGCAGATTGAAATTTGCTACTTTAGACTAATATATGTAGCCTGCTTTTTATTGATATTATTCAAATTATTACGATTTTTATAAGTTTTAACTGGCTAATATTCGCGGATTTGAGTTGTAAAATTTGTACGACAGATTCTTATTTATTATGATGTCACTCAGATGTGACTGAAAACACTTTTTGGAGAACCGTATTAAAGTCTTTTGGGTAGCATTTTATGTATATTTTCACAAAATATTTCAGAATAATTTTTTCTGTCATTTAAATTATTGACCCGAAACCCAAAGGGAATTTTCATTTGTTTTTTGTTGTATGCAGCATAAACGAGTGCACAGTGTAAAAAGTGCTAAAGACATTTAGTATTAGCCTATGATCAAATTTGATGAAAAAAAAAAATCTCCTGGATTCTCATGTTTTTTCATTGCTGGTCTCCTGTTTTTTCATACCAGGGGGTTGACACTACGTCTGCTTCCCTGCACCATCCGGGAAAATACAGGAAAAGGTTCTTGATGAAATTAGATTGTTCAAAAGGCTGGAAGAAAACTTTTGAATTTCCAAATTTACTGATAATAAATTTCTATTATATATTGGGTCATATTTTGACCAACGAAGCTTGTGAATCCGGCACAGAACAAGATAAACAATGTGGTGCCTCTAGAGGTTACAATTTTTATCCAATTTTTATACGGCCACATTTAAATGTGGTCGTATATTGTCGCCCCCGTCCGTCGGTCCGTCGTCCACAATTGCTTGTGGACGCTCTAGAGGCTAAAGTTAATATCCGATTGGCTTTAAATTCATTCACAGTGTTTAAGGTCAAATGACGATGAAGCCTATCGATGTTCAGCGATTTCCGATAATTACTGACAGAGTTATGGCCCTTGATCACTTCAAAAAATCTTGTAGACGCTCTAGAGGCCAAAGTTAATATCCGATTGACTTTAAATTCATACACAGTGTTTAAGGGCATGCGACGAAGAAGCCTATTGATTTTTAGCAATTTCCGATAATTACTGCCAGAGTTATGACCCTTGATCACTTTGAAAAATCTTGTGGACGCTCTGGAGGCCAAAGTTAATATCTGATTGACTTTAAATTTATACACAGTGTTTAAGGTCATGAGACGAAGAAGCCTATTGATTTTCAGTGATTTCCGATAATTACTGCCAGAGTTATGGCCCTTGATCACTTCAAAAAATCTTGTGGACGCTCTACAGGCCAAAATTAATATCCGATTGGCTTTAATTTCATACACAGTGTTTAAGGTCATGAGATGAAGAAGCCTATTGATTTTTAGTAATTTCCGATAATTACTGCCAGAGTTTTGGCCCTTGACCACTTCAAAAAATCTTGTGGACGCTCTAAAGGCCAAAGTTAATATCCGATTGACTTTAAATTTATACACAGTGTTTAAGGTCATGAGACAAAGAAGCCTATTGATTTTCAGCGATTTCCGATAATTACTGCCAGAGTTATGGCCCTTAGTCACTTTGAAAAATCTTGTGGACGCTCTAGAGGTCAAAGTTAATATCCGATTGACTTTATATTTATAATCAGATTTTAGTGTATTATAAATGTTTCATTACCGAAAATTAAAAATATGCGACAACTCTTGTTGACTGCCTGGACGATTTAGCTGCTGTGGGCGTATGTTTCGTTGCCTGGCAACCTATCTTAAAAAACCTTCAAGTATATCACCATTATATTCTAAAGATGGTTGAGTTGGAATTTCATGAAATTTTTGTCAGATTTAAAAAAAACCATTTGTATATATCATCGTTACAACATAAAGATGGTTGAGTACAAATTTCGTGAAAATTAGACTGAAACTAACGGACAAAATGGCCGCTCCAGGTATGCAAATAGTATAAGAGTATGTAGGCTTATACCAAGGTTGTGGATCCTCTAGAGGTCACAATTTTTAAATGATTTTGATGAAAATTTTTAAAAAAATGTTTATATCCCAAAGATCTCGGCTCCTCTCGATATTTGCGCATTTTGGACCGTAACTTCCTGGATTATGGGCCCTGATTGTCACCGTTACTACACCATAATGACGTTTGAGTTTGAATGTTGTGAAAATGAGACTGAAACTGCCCAACAAAACGGCCACTTAACATATGCAAATATAGTGCACTCTGTCACATCCGACCTCTGATCACTCCGGCACTCTGTTACATCCGACACCATTTTCATGGTCCCGATTTATTTCCTTATTACTTCAGCCAAAAAATCTCTGGGTAATACGACCTCTGTACGTTCCGGAGTACGACATCAATCAGCCGTCCCGTCATACGTTTTCCATTGAATCGACACCGTATAATCCGGCCTTCAATCGGTGGGTGTGAAGCAAACACTTACCGATCAATTATCCGTGAGATTAAAACTGGATGGGTGTGAAGCCACAAAAGATTAACAAGCAATCACCAATCAATTATCTGTGAGATTAAAACTCGCTACCGTGGGTCTTTGTTGATTACACTAGATAATTTTAATCTCTTGTACGACAGTTGTGACAAATACTCAAGAATATCCACGAATTTTCCCCAAAATTCAGTTGTAAAAATATTCCTAGCACCTGTTGGAAACATTCGTTGCGCATGCCGATTGAACCTGAATAACCTATAAGTTTGGTCACCCAACGGATCTCTTCGAACCGTGTGACGACTGGGACAAACAGTAACTGTGTGAATGTACCTTTAATCTGATAGCCGTACGAATGTATGATGTAATCTTAGTGTATGTCCATATAAGGCATTGAGTCGAGTGTGAAGAGAGAGATAGCCAATGAGAAGGGAGTGAGAGGGACACGAACTGGGCTGTTGTCGTTGGCGGTGAGTGAGAATGGAAGACGGAACTAGGATTAAAAGATTGTTAGTCATTAGTGTAATGTGAAAACTGTAATAAAGTTTATTCGAAGCTGAACACCTTCTTGAGTTCGAACCAACGGTACAACAAATTGGCGTCGCTGATAGTAACGAAGGTGTGTGGAATTTACTTGTGTCAACGAGAATGAAGAACCTTCATCGCCAAACGAGGTATGAAAAGTCGAAGAAAGAAGTAGACTGGTGATTCGTAATTAGCCGAACAACTCGCCGCCGATCCAGGATTCTGACTATTTTTCGATGAATAATCAGTAACTTGTGAATTAAGCCTACGCTGTGTTATATTTCAAATATTTCCATTGACATTCTTAATTGGTGATTAGAAGTAAACATTTATTGTCCGTCAACTGCCAGTAAGTACAGCGTTCTCTCGTCGATTTGAAGGTCCACCGAAGAAATGCCCGAACATTTTCCTCGTGAATCGACAGTGTAATGAACTCTAGTGTCTTATTTAACTTCAATTTCTAAAAGAATCATCTAGTTAGTCGTTTATCAGGCCACCACAGAACACTTGTGTGTTTTATGGACTTCATACCTAAATAAAATATTCAAGTATTTTATTTCAAATTTTTATAGACTTTTTTCCCAGAGTTTTATTTTGTTCGTTTGTTGATGTCATATGTAACGTAAACAATATGAATATTGTGTTTCTCATAATTGTAATGTGGTAATTTGACTAAATATGTTCATATTTTTATGTATGTTGTTAAATTGATGATTGTTTATTTACTGTATTTTGACAGACTAGTCTAGGTGTGTGTGATTTGTTTGATAGACTATAATTGACGCTTGATATCTAGGATGGTTTTCATCACTATTTAATAATATATAATTGTATGTTTTGTCAGTTAATTTTTTTTCCCCCTTTTATGTTAGTTATTTTTTCTTACTTTTTGACATTAGTGATACTTCAAACCTTTTCGGCTAGTTGTCCGACCTTCGATTTCTGTTATTCTAATAGTAATACTTTAGCTTTAATATTCAAAATGTCA